TATGTATGTGTGTGTGTGTGTGTGTGTGTGTGTGTGTGTGTGTATATATATATAAAATGATCACATTCATCACAGGGAATTTGTTTTTTTTTGTCTTTTTGAGACAGGGTCTCACTATGCAGTTCGGGCTGTCCTTGAACTCACTACGTAGCCCAGGCTGGCCTCGAAGTTGTAATAATCCTCCTGCCTCAGCCTCCTGAGTGCTGGTATTACAGGCGTGCGCCACCACATCCGGCCATCACAGGGAATTTGTACCCATACATGATATAGCTTCTTTCTCCTTTTTTTTTTCCATTCCCCTCTCCCCTCCTCCCCTCATTTGCAAAAGCTTTGTTTCCATATATTCTCCTGTTCTTTCTTTCTTGTGCCTTCCTGTCACCCTCCTTGTTCCCCTTCTCATTTGAACATTTTCTGTCCTTTCGGGAAGTTGTTGCTTCACTGGCATATAGTTTCAGTTCTCAACATGAACTGCTTGCACAACAGTGCAAACGTCATTAACACTGCTGAACGACAGGCTCTGTTCTTTTACTTATTTCTATCTATCTATCTGTCTGTCTATCTATCTATCTATCTATCTACCTACCATCTATCTGACAGAATCTCCCTAAGTGGATCAGCCTGGCCATGAACTCATTATGTAGCCCAGGCTGGCCTCAAACTCGAGGCTGTCCTCCTGCCTCATCCTCCTGCCTCAACCTCCTGAACAGAGAGAAGATAAAGTACTTAACAGGGCTAGGGATGTGGCTCAGTGGTAGAGAGCTAGCTTAGCATGTGTGAGATTCTGCCTTTGGGTTCAATCTCCAGAATCTCCAGCACCAGAAGAAAGAAAAGAAAATACTTAACAAATGTTAAACGCATTTTCAGCATTTCTCCCTGAACATCATGTCTAAGGAGAATACAATTTTCATTCCCCACAAACTCTGAGCTCCAAGAGGATTCAGCTACCCTGACTCTGAACCCAGGAGGGCTGCTGTCTTCTTTATGGTTTGGAGGGGTCTAACAGAGATTCAATAAATACTTGCAAAAATTTGAATATAGATACACGTGGTCCAACTAAAAATATAAAGCACACACACACAGAATGCACGGTGGGTACTTCACGAAAATCTAAAAAACTATCTAGTTCTTTCCGCCCATGTTCTTTTGGTTTTACATTTTATAATAGAAAAAAAAAACCAACAAAGTCTCATTTGACTTTCACTGTATGTAACAGAGGCATCATGTTCTCTAAGCTTACGAATGCTTCCCCAGTGTATATACCATTAGCTTTTGGTATTGGTTCTTTTTGGTTTTTGGTACCAGGCATTGAACTCAGGACCTCACATTTGCCAGGCAGGCGCTGTGCCGCTGAACTATCTTCCCGGCCCTACCATTAGCTTTTAAATAATATCTAGACACAAATACTTCATGCAATTGGCCTCCCAATAGGTATTTTCATCACCTTTCCAGGAAAGATATGAATGGTTTAAACCATACATAAAATAAACAAAATACTGTACAGCAGGTAAATCCAAAGCCTCAGTTTTCTCAACAATAAAACAAGGATATTACCATCTTGTAGAACCAGTCTCTAAAACATAACAGGAGACAACTATGTCATTTGAGACAGAGGAGAAAATTACTGGAGGGGTTTTTTTGTTTCTTTTTTTTTTTTTGAGACAGGGTCTCGCTATAAAGTTCAGGCTGGTCTTGAGATCACTTTGTAGCCCAGGTTGGTCTTCAACTCCCAAGGATCCTCCCATCTTAGCCTCCTGAGTGCTGGGATTACAGGAGTGCACCACCACACACGACCTGTTTGTTTTGTTTTGTTTTGTTTTGTTTTGTTTTGTTTGAGGTGGGTTTCACTATTTTGCCCAGGCTGGTCCCAAACTGGGGAGATGAAGTGACTCTCTTACTCAAGTCTTGAAAGTAGCTGGGAATACATGTGTGCGCCACCATACCTGGCTCCACAGGGAAAGAAGATCAAGCTCCCCTTCCCTTCTTACCCTAGACTATGCTCAAATCGATTGTGTGAAGCTCCTGGAAAAACATAGTAGCCGCCTCCCAACTGTTTAATATATCGAAGCCGCTGAAACTGAGGAGTGTCAATGATTCGGATGAGAAGAGGGTGCAGCTCAATATGGCCATGGATAGGATCATTAATTACCTGGAAAATCATGTTTAAATTAGTGCCAGTAACAATAGAGAATTCCATCTAAAATTTTGATGCAGCCATTCCTAACCGCGGTACAAAATCAGGGCTATTTAATTGTTCAAGTAAGAATAAAACTAAGGAAAATGGCAAGCTATCATTGATATCTTTAACTTCTTTAGGTATCACTACCAGACAGATCAAGGATACTGGACCTGAGCATATTTCATTTTACTTCTTCCTAATGGATTCTAACAACAGAAAGATAAGAATTTCAAGCATATATATATATATATG